CAGCCCAGACGAGGGGACTAAGAGGGACTGAAGGGCAGGAGAAGCTGAGGAGGCGAGGGAGCCGACAGCGCAGGACTCACCAGCCCGCACGGTGACGCAGCCCGAGCAGCAGGGCCGGCTCTCATGCTGGAAGGTGCTGTTGAGGGACAAACAACGGCCTCCTGCCACCACCCTGATGGGGGAAGGACTCACCACATGTTTCTGCAAAGAGGCGCCTTTGCAGTGGAGGTATGAACATCTCTACCCTTCGATGCAGAGTGCTTGATGGCCTGTGACCTTGCCAGACTGAGCAGGCACTGTCTCCTCAGCGAGGGTCCAGGTGCCAGGGGTCATGGGCAATCTGCTCACCCAAAACACACACAGGCCTCCCTTTTGCTGCTAACAAGTCTTGCCTTTGCGGTAGGCAAGGATTCAACGGCAGTCACTTCTTATCAAGAGGCAGGATTCACGCTGGACCACAGAAACGTCAAAGATGGATTCCATGTATAATAATGCAGGGCCAGTGGAATAGGATGTGAATTTTCAGGCAGGAGATAAACCTTTAAAGAAGCTGCAGCGGAACCGGGTGTCCTACGAGAGGCATCACATCTACTAAAACACCAGATACTAAAATAACCAGTACTAAGTAGTGGCAGAAGTTCAGTGGAAGACAACTACAGACGCTCAGAGTACACAGAAGTCATCAAGTCACTCTAAAAAAACCTAATTACCTACCAAAGACTGGGTTTAAAAAATCTGCACAACGTATCTGGATTACTGTTGATAAATCACAGCCCCACTGCTCTTCAGATAAACCCACTGATGTGATTTTGTTTCTAGTGCTGCAAGATGAACAATTGGAAATACAGTTTTCAGAGCCATGATAGTTTTGTTTTCTTTAACTAGCTAAAGCTCAGATTTTCTCAAAGCAGGAAGAGAAAGAGAAGCCCAGTTCTTTGTTTTACAGAACGAAACAGGTGATTTTAAGCTGTCCTCACCTTTTGTGCATGCTCCTGTCTTTGCTCTTGCCTTCTGTGTAGTATTTTAAATTAAGGGATTTCCACCTACCCTATTTTTATGCTAGCTTTGTTACTGATGGTTTTGTTCTTTAAAAAACCAAACCTGTATGGAAAGGTTCAGTGCCCCGCTGCTGGAGGCCGCCTCCCCACAGCTCTGCTGCCAGAAGGATTTGTGTAAGCATTCCTTAATGAACTTCTGCCTGAAGTCAGCTGCCTTACTTTATGCTGTATGGGGGTACAGTTTTTCTTGATCAGTGCTTCAGGAACATATTACTCTAAGTCCAATTTATCCTTAAGCCAAGCTACTTTTCCTATTATTATACCCTAGGAGAAGCTATGGCTTCCTCAGTTGCAGTGATTTGCACATTTAGGGTTATACTTAAAAGCAATTCTGCATCAGTCTGCTCAGAGTTAAACAGATTGTTTCACAAATGGAGCTTAAGGTGAAGACACACAAACAGGGCTAAGAGCTATTGGGGGGGTCAGGGAGAGGAACCTGAGGAAGCAGCACCTATGAGTTAGTGCTGACACCAAAGACTGTGTCACCGTACCTTAACCTAGCCTAGCTGATTTTAGTCTGATGGTAGCATAGCTGGAGTCAGAGAAGAACATCTGTCTGCAGCCTGTGAGATAGCAAGGAAGAGGGATAGAAAATTCATATGATTTAGAAGCCGCTGCAGGTTATTTTGTCGGGAGTATCAGTGTGATTTTGTACAACTTTTGCCAGTTCTGCTAGGCCAAATCTGCAGTTATGTGTAGGGAAGCACTTGGCACACCTTCACTTTAAATGAATGCAGAATGTTGTCCAATATCCCACTAAAAACTACACCATGCTTGTCTGAAGCCTCTTATTTACAGCACTTGGAAACGTACTGTCCATAAATCAGAATCAGTCTTCTTTTTGCATATCCATTTTCTTTGTTGCCTCCTTAAATGTCTAGATTTCACTTTGAAATTCTGTATCCCTAGTCTAATAAGAAAGGTTACAATTTGGTAAATTTCTCAACGTTTTTTCCAGGCCTCAAATAATGGCCTAGTAAGAAGATGGGTAGCATTTTGTTCAGCTTGAGAATTGTGGCAGTCAGTAGGAACTGCACAGGATTTTAGCAGGCCTTCACCTGTCCTTGAGCAGATATAAGCAGCTCTGCATTCTTCAGAGCTGGGTTTTTCATTTGTTTGTGGGGTTGGGGGGCAGAGGGAGGTGTTTTGTGCCTTGGGTTTTTTTTAGTGGGACATTGATCCCACTAAACGGGTGTATGTTGCTGCGAGGTTTCTGGGCAGAGTGGATCAATTTTGTAATCTAGCTCACCGCACAGCTGCACGGTCACGTTTGCTGGCACAGGAGAGCTGGAGGGATATCATGACAGGGCAGCATTGTCCCGTTTCCACTGCAGCTGGGCTGGGGCCAGATTAAAGCGGCTGTGTAAGCAGAAGCTTGGGGATCGTGCTGAGTACTTTGCAGGATCTAGAATCAAATATTCATACCTGATGCTTCAAAGCTATGGGAGAAAAAAATATGATGAAAATGCAAACTGCTTGGCAGTATCCAAATACTTTTCTTCAATATTTGGTTTCCCACAGGGAGGGAGAAATCTATACCCATGACAGAGCAATCATTTTGAACGCCACCATCTGAAACTTAAAATTTCTGTAAAACACCTCTCTGAAATAGCAAAATGTCAGTCCCCTACTACTTCGAAAATACACCTATCAGGTGTCACACCTGCCCAGTTCCACAATAAAAAAGCAGGAGAACATTTACTGCTTTTTAAACCAAATGAAATTACAGTTTCCAAATTACCAAAAGTCAACTGTATGATGATCGACTGAGTTGCTGTGACATCAACACAACGGCTAGCAGTAATTTTTGAAATCAAATTGTAGAGTTTAATGAGGAGAAAAAGCCTACGCATCTAAATAATTTCCCCTGTGAATGCTGCACAGCTGCTTATTTGTTCAGTTAGCCTGCTATGAGCATCACTCTCTTCACCAGGTATTTTGTTCCCAAGCTTTGTAATTTCAGTACCTGTAAAGAGATTACAGATAAAACAGGTAGCACTAAGTAGTTTCCAGAAAAAAAGAGAGAAACAAAGGCAACACTGTTTTTGTGACTGATATTTATCTTCCTAATCCCACATTTCCAAGGACCGAGCATTCTGTGCTGACAATTCTCACTTTCTAACCTCTGCCTACGTACTTCCAACAAATAGAAAACCTAGGTAATCTTGCAAATACCAAAATAATCACTCAAGACAGGCATGCCAGTGTTCTGCAAGGACTGTGAACATCTGTGGAATTAAAAAAAAAAAAAAAAAAAAAAAAAAAAAAAAAAAAAAAAAAGACTCCAACTCGGATTAATTTCAGAATAGACTAACCGAAGGAGAAAAATGTATGAATGACTCGAAATACTGAAGGAACACAAGAGCAGCAAAACAACCAGCAAATACCTGTTCACTAAACTGCTCATCTACAAATCTGGAAAACAAGCACAATCACTTTATGAGATTAGATTTAAGGCTGATGAGAAACCAGTAAGGTTCAAAAGGAAAACATGCCATTAGATTTTTGTAAGATTTGCAAACAGAATGGAATCAGTGCTTTCCAAAAGATGCTGAGAACAAGAAAGAAGGATCGACTTACTTGCAAGTCATGTCCCAAGGAAGGTGAATAAAAAGAAACAGTACTTGTTTGTTTCTGATACTAAAATTGATATAAGAGTTTAAACATGTATTTGACAAAGACTGCTGTCAACTAACAATAAAAAAATCAGAAGAATCACTACACCGTGCAGCTCTATGCATGGGAAAGTTACAACATATTCAGTCTCTACTGGGCTCAGTAGTGACAAACGGGTGGGAACTGATGGCCTGTGATACGCAGCAGTCAAATTAGATAATGTATTGGCTGCTCTGGGTGCCAGAGCAAATGCAAAAGCTGTAACCGTATGACTAATACCAGAGAGAATGAAATTGCTGTTCTTCACTGATAGTCATTCAGTGTATTTGCAAATCTGACAGGACCTCAAAATATTATTTTTAATTCTTTATACTCCTGTTGTGCCAAAACAAACTGCCTCAAGATCACTTTGTCCTTCTCGCCATTATTTCTTACCCTCATCCATCTTGCCCAAGCGGCAAACTCTAAAATAGAGCCCTGGCAATGCCTGGCTCTGCAGGGCTACAGGGCGCTTGGAACAGCCCATTCCTGAGGGTGCTGAGGGTCACAGGGGGCCACCTGGATGCACCCAGCACCCAGGAGGCCTGGAGACAGCGGCGTGCCACCCCTCACCCCCTGCCTGCAGGCTGGGCCTTCCACAGCCACAACAGCAACCCCCAGAAACGGCTCCGTTCAGCAGGGCAGGCAAGCCAGCTGCTTCATCCTCGCAAAGCCGTTATCTGTGGAAGCTAGCCCAGTGTAACAATATGCAGATTACAGGGTAAAACCAGTTGGGAGTGATCTGAAGTTGATTTAATTAAGCCAGTACACCTTTGGCAGAAGCAACCTTGCAACTAATGAAAATGCTCTCACAGCTTCTGTGCTTTCTCCTCCCTTTGTTCTAGAGCTGCTTATTCAGATTTCACATTCTATTTTTCTTTTCTCTTGCTCTCCACCCTCATTTGACCCTTCCACTGCTTATCTTATTTCTGCTATTATTCCTCTGAACTCCTGTTTCCTAGGAGGCCGCCACCACTCTGGTTGGGGAACATTTTATATCCATTTAACAGAGTGTGAATCATAAGATTTTCAGGGCAGTGAGGAAGCAAGACCCCTGTTTACATCTGCCAAGTATTTTCCCTTTGGCATATAATCATACTGTAGGAGTTTCTACTGTATTAATCCATACAAATGGGCAACTAATATCCCAGAGATTAAAAATTATGCCAGTAGACCACATGGTTTTCATCATAGCAGATACATTCCAAGTAGGAAATTAAGAGAAGAGACTATATGAACTCTGAGTTTATAGGCGACTCTCCACGTTCAGCTACTCCTGCTTTTTACCTGCAGTTCTTTTCTGAACACAGGGTAAAAGGCACACTTCTACCTGAGATAATCAACACGGAATAAAACACGTCAGAGTTGTCATGTGTCCTTATGCCAAGACAAAAATATAGCGCATCCCACTGCACACTAAACTGGAGAACTAATCTGGATGGAAAAAAAGACACCGGTGTAAATGCAGGTACCATTTCCATGGTTATTTTTCAGTGGGATTCCTGCACAGTCTGCATCAATGCAACAGGGGAAGGGGTTGAGTAAGACAGCAGTGAATCACACCTCAAATACAGGCGTGCCTACAGGAGAATGTCCGGAGCCTTCTTGGCACACTAGAAAGTATCAGGAAAAGATAAAAGGCAAAGGCATAACCAAGTAAAATGAGAGTACATGCACTGCTGGGAAGATTCACGTGGCGATTTGTTTTTGGCTTGGTTTAGCCGTTTACAGTGTCATCACCAGATTAGTCAGTGAAGTGGCCAGTCCCCTGCTGCAGCTCTAACAACAGCAGACTGGGGGGAGAGAAAACACCATCAGTCGGAAACCCCACAGAAACTGTGGGGTTTTGTGTTCAGAGAGCCATATAAGTCAAAAAGGCGACCAAGCTTTTCTTTTTTCCATGTATAACTCGCTATGCCATAAACACAGTTGGGCAAGTACCAGAGCCTTCAAACCGGGGAGATTTTAGGACGCTACACGAAGCGTTTCTCCCGCCTTACACAAACTCCTTGACTTCACCCACCAGTCTGAGCAGGGCTCAGGGCGGTACGTCCCGCCGGGACACCAGCGCTTGCGGGTCCCCGCTCTCGGCTCTCTCCCGCCCGCCGGGAGCCCCGGCCGAGCCCC